TTACTTGATTTTTACTGCATTTATTATATGATATCTGAGTAAATTAGTACACATGAGGTATCTACGTTATTGTTGTCTATGGGCCCCGTAACCGCTTAACACCAGGTGGGCCGTGAACTCGTCAACCCATCTGAAGGACAAACATCCTTTGCGTATTTTTTTTCAAGTGAATTATTATTGTTAACTAGCTTTTACCCGCGACTTCTTTTACGTAAAAGGTGAAAATATTGAACAATAAAATGTTAAGGAGTTATTTAAGGTACCAAAATCACGCTTTTTAATCGACTTCAAAAGAGGAGGTTTTTAAATTCGACCATCATTTTTTATCTATGTATGCTCACCGATATCTCGAGAACGCTTGAACCGATTCTGATAATTCTTTTTTCTTTTTTTTTTTTGTTCAATAATGTTGACTTTCCGAACGATCCTGTAGTCATTAGGATCAGGATTTGATAATGGATTTCTGGAGAAATCGAGAATCAACAATCTTCAAAGCCTATCTTAAAGTGATTTAGGTGTTTCTTGCTATTCTTCTTATTCTGCATATGTTAAACTAACGTTGACGTTAGCGCGTTCAAGCAAACAAACTCTTCAGTTTTATAATATTAGTATAGTTTTTTTTTTTTATTGCCTTTCTAGGCAGACGAGCGTACGGCCCACCTGATGGTGAGTGGTTACCGTCGCCCATGGACTTCAGCATTAATTAATTAATTAATTAATTAATTAATTCAGCATTAATAGATTAACAATTTTAATATTGGCAAACGTGCAAATAAATATATGCACAACCATATTATTATCATAGTAAACTGTGACATATATATTTATTGAACAATAACAGAAATGTCGTAGAGAACGCTACGATCGTAGCTGCGTAGAATAAACAAGTTACGGAAACTCGTAGGCTTTGTAGAGTTCTCGCAGGTAATATATTTGCTTAGACAAACAGGAATGTTATTGTAACGCTCTAGTCGTTATGTGTTCCATATCTATATATTAACACGTGAAGCAAAAACTTTGTATCCCTTTTTACGAAAATTGCGCGGACGGAGGGGTATGAAATTTTCCACACTTATAGAGAATATAGAGAAGAAGTGCACAATGCTAATATTTTTTTTAAAGAATGCATAAAAGATACATTAAATCAATAAAGAAAACATTACACACACTACATACCATGCATTTGACGCACACACGCATGTATACTATTTACTGTCAAACTTTTGTTCTTGACGCCTGTTGTCAAATTGAGAATAGATTAAATATTGTTTGTCTTTGTTAATATTTTTTATAGTGTACTCTTGGCGAAATCTGTGATTATAGAAATATAAAATACAATCATAATAGTGAACAAACTTACAATTCCAATTAATTTTAGTCGAATTTCGACTAGTGCGGGACCCCAAGTTTATCTAAAATTATGTACATATTATGTAAAAATCTATGTATCTCGGAACGTGTAGACAATTTTTTTTCTTAATACGAAACACTAAAACGGCTTTAGGTATGTATATGAAAGTGTTTAGCTTTAAAACTAAAAAGGTTTTAATGCCAACCTTTAGATAATTTGCTCCCATAAGGCATATAATTAAGGTCTTTCTTTATCTCACTGCATAACGCGCCGAATGAAGGCAGTGAGATAAACGAAAAGAATAAACCTTTTTTTATAGCCATTATATATTTTATACATATACATAATATATTGATAAGGATCCGTAACATAACTGAAATATTACAACCTACAACTAACGCTTCGTGCTGAAAATATGTAAATTCTATATTGTAATGCCCCGAGTTAAGGTTTTGAATTGCCAGGCGCACAAATTTCAAATTTTCCAAATATATATTTAACCAGGGTTATTTTTTCATTGCCCTTGTAGGCAGACGAGCATACGGCCCACCTGATGGTGAGTGGTTACCGTGGCCCATGGACTTCAGCAATGCCAGGGGCAGAGCCAAGCCACTGCCTACCGTAAATACCGTTGCTAAATTTGACCGGGAATCCGACACTATAATATTAATGGAGATATAAATATTCTATTTCCGGGTTTAGTTATAAACACTAAAACTTGACGGTTTGAGACTAAATTATGTTCTAGCCCAGGTTTCCAAGTGGGTGACGGTTTCAATGATATCTCTCTCTCTCTCTCTCTCTATCAGCCCACAGACGTTCACTGTTGGACATAGGCCTTCCCCAAGCCTCGTCACAAAGATTGGCCCTGCGCTTTCTGAATCCAGTGGATCCTCGCGAACCTCAATAGTAGTGCCTGGAAAGCGTGCTTCCCAGAAAAAAAAAGATCTTTTTGTCATTTCGAAAGTGATTTCCAACATCAAAGTTCAATGATCTCACTTGATTCATAAATCATATTTTAAAGATTTTAAAGGACATTTATTAATTGCTCTAGAATTACAACAAATCTTACATTAACAAAGACAAACAATCAATTTAAAAATTACGTAATTAGTTATAACGTAAGGCTGAAGATTTTTGAATAATATTATAAAAGATAAATTCGTATTCTATTGAATATTTTTTCGAACATTCTATTTATTGCTTTGATGAGCGAACTAGCTCATTACCTATCTGGTATTAAGTGGTTACTGTAGTTCATAGATATCACAACGTGAAGCTACCAACCGATATCTCGAAACAATACATCGCTAAATTTATCAAAAGGCGTTTTGTTTTTTCTATTTATTAATAGTGTGGATGCCTTAACAAGTTTACAGCCCAGCTGATGTTAAGGGTTCTCAGAGCCCAGATATTATGACGTGCACTAATAACTCGCATTTGTACTCATATACACGTGCACTATCAAAATACATTTTACGGGATTAATTCATTACACGATATATTTCTTTATTGTAAAAGTCGCCCGTGAGTATGTGTGCCGAATAGATAATTAGTAGAAACATAATTATAAGTAAATTTTATTGGTGACTGATTGGTGTGTACCACCCTGCCCATTTTTAATGTGAAGCAGTAATGTGTTTCAATTTGAATTATGGGGCAGCCCTCTTACTACAAAACTAAGACTTAAAACTCATGTCTCAAGTTGGGTTGCCGAACTTACATTGCTGCTCCGGTAACCGCCTAACATCACACTTTACTGGTGGTGGGAACTCTTGTGAGTTCGCGCGGGTAGGTACCACCACCCTGCCTATTTCTACCGTGAAGCAGTAATGCGTTTTGAAAGGTGGGGCAGCCGTTGTAACTATACTGAGACCTTAGAACTTATATCTCAAGGTGGGTGGTGCATTTACGTTGTAGAGATCTATGGGCTCCGGTAACCACTTAACATCACCTAGGCTGTGAGCTCATCCACCCATCTAAGCAATAAAAAGGTGGGCCGTGACTCCATACATATAATAAAAAAATCATTTTATGCAATATTACTACTTCTAAAGTATGTTGTTAATGATCGCGGTGTAGCCACCATGTGAGCTATGTCTTTGAAACGCAACACCCTATATCTCCCGCGAGTGCTATAAGTGGCAACTAAAAGACTCACCGAAGAACAGGCAGCATCATTTTCTGAGTATTATACAAGCTTTCTCCGATCACTAACTAGCATTTACTGGTGATAAAATCGTATTGTAAATACGCTCGGATGGATACCACTATCGTGCCTATTAGTGCCGTGAAGCAGTCCTACACTCCAGTTTGAAGTGTAGGAAAACCGTTATGCAAAACAATTGAAGCTTATACTTCATTTCTGGAAGTGAAGCCCAGCGTTCACGTTGTGATGTCTATAAATCAGATTATCTCAGATGCTCCCTGAGTGACGACGAATATATTTGTCGATAAACCCAAAATAGGTAGCATAAATGAGTTCAATTCGGTTTTCCGGAGTAGACTGGTGGTAGGACCTCTTGTGAGTCCGTGAAGCAGTAATGCGTTTCGGTTTGAAGGGTAGGGCAGCCGTTGTAGCTATACTGAGACCTTAGAACTCATATCTCAAGGTGGTGGCGGCATTTACGTTGTTGATGTCTATGGGCTCCAGTAAGCCACTTAGCACCAGATGGGCTATGAGCTCATCCAACCAACTAAGCAATAAAAAAAAAGTCGTAGACATAACTAAAACTGCCCTTAAAACTACATTCCGATATTGTGCTAAGGACCGTCTATTTGTCTATAAAAATATTTCGACGAAACCTTAGTCGTCCGTGTCCATGAAAGCTGTATAGCGTTCAAAATTGAACAAATAATTAGTGATAATAAGAAATACGTGATTAAACCTTAAAAGAAATTTTGAATGTGTATTTATAGTCGACATCGATGACAAAATGGGTCTTGTATCCCTTTCTCTTTACCGAAGTTCTGTGTTTACGCCGGACACGATATTTTAACGAAATGTCAATTAACACTACTGAAGTTACGTTTCTTAATAATATATATGCAATCTGTAAATATTTAAAAAAAAAAAAAAAATAGTTAATGAAAGTTAGTATTTTCTTTGGTTTTTTTGTAAGTTGTAGACATAATTACTACATAGACTACTTGTAAGGTTTAATTTTGGAATTTTACTATCATTATATTTTTTACGACGTTTAGAATATTTCTCAGCTTTTGTGGTCAGAGATAACTAAGGTGTTATTCTTTTATATTTAAATGTTGCGCTAAATAATAAAAGTTACTTTTTTGTTTTTCAAACATCCAAACCATTCCAATTTCCTCTGTCTAGCCCACGAGGAAAATTTGTCGTGAACGTACAATTCACAACTGACCTATTTACAGCATGTATTGCATATTATATTTCTTAACTTATAAATTAGGACATTCCAAAATTAAAATGTCAATTTGAATTTTAAATCAGAGAAAGTAAGCTAGAGCTATTGCATCTAAAATAAATTACCGTGATAGAATGTATAAAAAAACAATTCAAATAGATCTAGATTTCATAACATGTTCTTATGCATAAAATAAATTAATTTCTGTTAAAAGAAAACAATAGGCAGATTTTAATTGAGCTTTCCACCTTAAAATATGCAGTACTCACCTTGTACACGGCTACATAACAATATACATCCAACACGCACAAAGTTTAATTACAGAACACCCTACATGCGTCCCAGCGACCGTCGAGAGCGAATTTTCATCAATTTTTCATTAAAGCCCCGGAAAAATATAGCTCGTATTTCATCGATCGTCGGAGCTGCGACACGACCCACCGCCGCGAGGTCGCGAGCGAAACTGGGATCTCACACATTTTCAATCCCGAATTAAGCTCAAGCGGGATAGGTGTATTTGAGGGAGCGAGACGGAAGAAGGTGCAGAGGTGCGCAGGAAAGAATTAGATGTTTATTTGGGCTCCTGGTAATAGGATAACAGAAGCTCGTGCCTTCCTAGTTTCGAGTGACTCTTGAGATAATTACTGTTAGTTTATGTTAGCCTGGTACTTTGTCACGTAATTGATATAGGAGTTGCCATTAATTGTCACGGCTTTTTCTCTGTAATGACCGTATTTTGTTGCACTTGTTTGTTACACATTATTAAGTAAATAAATCATTCGTAACATTTACGTGAATTATTAAAACACATACAGACTGGTCTTTCAGGTAGTTTTCTATTCGCTATTTCGTACACATAACAATAATCATTTCGGATATGACAATATCAACTGGGAATTCACTTCAAAATCTAACAAAAAATATTTATGTGTTACACGTACCGGACCTCAAAATAATGACTATTCGATTGAGACACACATTCTTTTCCGCTGTTCTAAGAGCCTCAATAAATTTATTTACCAAAAGACTAAGACTTCACGTGTTCAATTATAGCATTTTCATCCACCATTACCAGATGAATTCATCTGCAGTATTAATATAATGGCCAGTAAATTAACTGTGCCCGAAAATCGTTGAGCCGGAATGCATTAAATAAAGTGCCGAGAGCTAGGAAGCACTCTTTTTACGTTTACTATAATATCGTTCTATCTATCGTTCTAATATCGTACTATAATATCGTATTTTGGTCATGTTGCACGCAGGGGTACCAGCAATTTGGAACGTCTTGTGGTTACCGGTAAAATAGAGGAAAAAAGGCCTAGGGGTAGAGATCCCAAACGATGGTCGGCCATAAAACGGAGGAACTGGGGGTACCTGTCAGCGACACACTTCACCAAGTTACAAAACGGGATCGATGGAGACAGCCAGTTGATGGAATCGGACGGAATCACGATCCTCTGCAGCGAGGGACCGATCGAAGAGAGAGAGAGATAATATCGTTTGGTTTTGTTAGCACTCTATTAGAAGATATAATGTGTATGCAGTTCTAGCCTCCTAGGATTTCTATTATGATTTCCACGATGAAGGAATAACGTAGTGTAAATAAAAATTGAAGACCAAAAAAATATTTTGCGTAATTATTGGTGGCGGGGCGTCTTGTGGGTCCTCACGGGTCGGTATCATCAACCTGCCTATTTCTGCCCTGAAGCAGTAATGTGTTTCGGTTTGAAGGGTGAGGCAGCCGTTGTACTGTAAAAACGGAGACCTTAGAACTCATATCTCAAGGTAGATGGCAGCATTTACGTTGTAGATGTCTATGGGCTCCGGTGACCACTAAATCATCAGGTGGGCCGTGAGCTCGTTCACTCACCTAAGCAATAAAAAAAAGCCGTAACACAGAAATGACCAAATAACTTTCCTGGAATTTTATATCACAAATAGATTTCACCTTTAGCATTCTTTATATAAACGTAATTAGATAAGAATTCAGCAAAAAAATATTTTGATATATTAATCTTGGCAAAGATCGTAACCTTATTTTTATTTCAGAGTAAAGCTAATTAATTTTAGCTTGATGTTCTCATTTGACGTCTAATTATAGCCACTATTCCTGTTTTAGTCCACTTTTAAAAAGATAATTTTGTAAATTTATTACTTGAATTCGATTTTATCAAATCTAAGGCGCTCGTTAGGTTTTATGCTGATAAAATATTTACAATCTTCTGCGGGATCGTGGATAAGATTACCAGTGCATTATCGGGGCTCAAATTAAGAGAATTTTCACGAGGCTTTAACAATAAAAGGATAATAAAATTGAATTTATTCACATATTTCTCATGCGAATAGTCGGCCATTAAGTCGGTGATTTGTAATTCGAACTCACTACTCAAAGTCGTTGGTGGTATTTACGTTGCCATAACAATGAGCCAATAACTCCTTAATAAGAGCTACCAGATAAAGCTGAACGGGAACCACCATCCTTGCAAACCTGTAAGCTTAATAACACAGCCAAAATATTATCTATGGTAGATTACATTCCTGAAGCCAAAAAAATCTATTAACTGTATTAATATTTGATAAATACATATTTTAAGATTAAAAAGCAGTAAGATCATTTTGCTTCCAAGCGATTTTGTTGAAAAGATCAAGAAGAGTCATTTGAATCATTATGGTTAAAAAGTGACATTTAGGGGAAAGCTGTGAGCTCTGTCATCGCATTGTACGACTTGCTCCAATACCAGTTTCGGGTAGTACTTACAAATTTAATTTTGAAAATAAAAAAAAGGAATTTTTAATTAGTTAATTTATTTATTTATTACGCTACATACTATCATAGATCGGTGAACTTAATTCTAAGGCATTTTCTGCCAGTTAAACCAAGGATGATGCAGAAAAGTAAGTAGGAGAGAAAAGTAGTAAAAGAGTAAAATTGAGTGCAATCGAGACATCCATCTCATGTTTCAAAGCGACATTCACGTTGTGATGTCTATGGGTTCACGTACTCACAAACCACTATGTGAGCATGTTCAACCATCGAAAGAATTTAAAACTAGCTTATAAATTCAGTAGTTTCAATTACTTTTAACTTTAATTACTTTTAACAGCTTAACTCTACTATTCTGTACTAATGTGTAATGTGCCGAGCGTCGGAATACCGACTATTTGTGCAGTCGTGTCTTAGCGCGCCCGTGTATAACGTCTTTAATATGTTAATAGAATTTATAAACAACCATTTAAAATTATTTTGCTATGAATTTAGCATTGAGTATTGTTTATTTTTTTAAAGTTTTTTAAATAGGTACTTTTTTCAAAAATCCTTTAGCAATTTCTGAAAAATATGTGAAAATAAGCTTAGTACTGAAAGGATTAACTATATCTCGAAGCTATACAAATGTCGGCTAGCTCCTATACAACTGAGTGGTCGCATGATAAATATTGATAGGAAGAGGATATCGTGTTTCGGACCAGACATCGTTCATTAAACATCGCTACACACAAACTACGTATACGTTCAGGTCTAATTTAGTAAAGGATTGGGCATATTGCAATAACCATAGTAATGTGTTCAACGGCGGATTTAATCGTTGCTTCTTTCTTTCTGGTCGTTTCCTCAATGCTGAGGATCGTGACTGTATGTCAATCTTCTCCACTCGGTCCGGTTCTGCGCCATATGTACCGCTCCCCATATCTGGCCTCCAGTCACCTCCTTGAGTTGGTCAACCCATCTAGCTTATATAATATAATAATATAATATATAATCGTTGCTTAGATGTTGTTAATTTGGCAGATGTATTGATTTAATTTCATTCATATGACAAAATAAATTGATTGACAGATGCATTGATTTCATTTCATTCATATGACAAAATAAATTGTTTGACAGATGCATTGATTTCATTTAATTTCATTCATATGACAAAATAAATTGATTGACAGATGCACTGATTTCATTTCATTTCATTCATATGACAAAATAAATTGATTGACAGATGCATTGATTTCATTTCATTCATATGACAAAATAAATTGATTGGCAGATGTATTACTATTGATTTCTTGTCTGATATGCACAGAACTCTGAATAAATGACATGAAGAGTACTGAGAAGTTGGTAGCGACTTGGCTGTACCTCTGACATTATGCATACTCGATTCTTGCCTACAAAGGCAATAAAAATATTATGTACTAGCTATATTTGTTTTATTTCCTATTGTACGTAATATAAGTATGTCGTGGAATATTTATAATATCCTCCAATAGTCGAAATTCGACTATAATTAATTGAAATTATAAGTTTGAACATTGTTATTGGTTTTGTTGTCAAAGATTATTTATTACGAGTATCCTTCTTTAATCACAGATTTCGCCAAGACTTCACTAGGAATAGACAAATAATATTAAAGACAAACAATATTAATCTATTCTCAATATGATCACAGAATTAAACAATAACAAAAGTTTGACAATAAACGAAGATATATGTGTTGTGTTAAATATATGGTGGTGTGTGTAATGTTTTATTTATTTATTGATTTAATGTATTTATTATGCATAATTTTAAAGAAATATTAGCAGTGTGCCCTCCTTCTCTATACTCTCCATAAGTGTGGGAAATTTCATACTCCTCCGACCTCGCAATTTTCGTAAAAAGGGTTACAAAGTTTTTACTTCACGTATTAATATAAGTATAGATATTAGAAGAAGAAGAAGAAGTGTCAGAGTTGCATCTTAAGCAAGCAGAGTAGCTATCCTCTACACATTATATGTACTTCGATATACTATTTATACATTAAAAGTTAATAATGTGTGAAACATTAACACAATAACAGTCTCTGAATTAGATGACTCAGAGACAAATGTCCATTAAAACCTATGAAAAATATACATTAAATCTGCAATGTATAAGTAACTTAATCGTGAGAAGCGAATATAATTGTAAATTAAAATTGCGCACGTATTTTTCTCAATTTAATGTAAATTCAATATTTTTGCTATATATTTTTTGAGCGCAAGCCAAAAATCTTAATATTTTTCATAACAAAAAATGGCAATAATAAGACAATATTTTGCGCAAGTTTGCATTATACTATTACGATGACTTAATTATTATTATTATATTTATACAAAAAAAATCTTTATATGTCATATATTTTAATGGATCAATTTAAAAATATAACGAAAGCTTTATAACAGAAGTTACTTGTTATTAAAAGTTTATATAAAAATTAAGTTGAGGTGTATTTTAGTGTTATCGAAATTATGAAGCTTTGATTATTATAATCACATCGCTGTAGCCAATAGTCTAAATTTTTTTTATTGCTAAGATGGGTAGACGAACTCACAGCCCACCTGGTGTTAAGTGGTTAGGTCTCAAGTTACAACGGCTGCCCCACCCTTCAAACCGAAACGCATTACTGCTTCACGGCAGAAACAGGCAGGGCGGTGGTACCT